CTTCCTGATTACATCTACAAAGACCTTAAAGGTCACACTGATGATCTGGTGGCTTCCCTGGTAGCTCAGACCATAAAGAATCCACCTGCAATGCAGGAGACCCAGGTTCAATCCCTGGGTCAGGAAGATCCTCTGGAGGAGGGAATGGCCACCCACTCCACAATTCTTGCCTGGAGAATCCCATGGACAGAGGAGCCTGGCGGGCTCCAGTCCATGGGGTCACAGAGTCAGACACGACTGACTAATCCTATCACTGTTCTGAGGTTCTGGTAGACTTGAATTTTGTGGGTACACCATTCAACCTACAATTTCCAATGTTTTATTGGAAATTATTAGGAAAATAAGACTCATTTAATAAACCCTACTCTATTTACTTGCTTTGAGAACACTAGTAGAGGATTACTTCCAATTCTTCTTAGGCTTCCCTGCACCAGTACAATAGTTGTGGATGACAGAAATCTAATGTCTGATTTGAATTCCTGTCCTCATTGTATAAGATTAAAAAAAAAAAAAAACAAAACTCATGTCCAGAGAGGAGTAAAGACTTGTTTAAATTCATGTCCATGAGCATCAGTGGTAAAACTGTAACTGAGCCCATATCCTCCCCTTGCAGGCCACACTCACCTTGGGCAATCAGCACTTTAAAGAAGGAGCAATAGTGTCTTTCCGTGCCCCCCTCCCCCCCAGTATCTTTAATCAGGTAATACAACATCCTCCTCCTTCAAGAAAAGAGAAAGAGCTAATGGTGGACACTTAAGCGTCGTGATTGGAGCAATGATTTTGCGTTTTTAGCAGAAGAGCCAAGGAAAGCAGAGTAGAGGTGGTGACGGTGAAGGATGCTTCTTAGGTAAGCAACACATTGTAGGGCCCTAACTGCTACAGCTCAGGCCAAGGTAACCAGCACAGTGTTCTCTGCATTGACAAATGGCCTTGACCCTGGAGAACAAAGAAGCTGGATTATTATTTCCAGTCCTCTATCCAAGCTGTCATCAGCTAAGGAAAAAGTAGCTATGAGTGAGGGAAGTTTATTTTAAGATGGGACTCGATCATTTGTTTTCTTCCTGTTCAGAGCACTAGGGATGTTAATTACAACTCTGAATACTGCTTAACAACAAAGGCAGTAAACATGTGACACTGAGCTGAGCTAATGAGTATGATTATCGTTTAAAAGTTCTGACTTCAGCAATTACACACTAATCAAGAGGAGTGTTCAGAAATGAGGCTCAACCCGGAGGGAATTTAAGAGGACAACTCACACCTGTCTGGAGAGCTGAATCATAGGTTTACACAATTCCATCTTGAGTTCAGTTCACACCTCTCTCTCTCTAGAGGTAGTTTAGAAACAAATTTCTAACATTTGTTTCTCTATATTATTCTTCGGAGGAACTGAAATGAAGGCAGGAGAATCAAGTTAACAAACCTGAACTTTTTTTGTCTTCGTCAGTAATTACAGAATCAGAAGCCCATGTTTCTACCCTTTCAAAGCTTCCAGCCATTTCAGCACAATAGTATGAAATAAGATGTGGCTAAAAGCAAGAAACATGGAGTCTTTGTTTTCTTCCCTTCATACCCTGTGCCCCAACATTGTTGTCTCTGAGACACTAGCCAACTGAAAAGAAAGGAAAAAAACACTTGGATTGTAGGATCTCAGAAGATTGACCCCCCAAATCCTAAGGCAAGGATCTTGACCCCCTTACTTTCCCTACCTGCGCTAGGAAATGTTTGGGATCAGAGAGCCCTGGGTTGGCAATCTTTAGCTTTACTAGGAACACTAATAAATTTAACATTGTTATCTTGATGGACCAGATTAATACTAATCCACTTTCGAAGTGGCAGGAATGGGGGGACCTGGAGCATAAATGAGATTCCAAAGCCGTCTGCAGAAGGACCCAAAGTATGATGGGAGGAGCCAGTAGACCATTTCGAATGAGGCATGTGCCTGAGAACAAGGACTTTCTTTCATGGCCTGGGTCCCGTTAAGGCCTGCTGGCAGGAAGGGGAGGGACCAAGTAAGCCCACAAAGCCCTGCTGTTGATACATAGTTTGCTTCAAAGTCTGGCTGGAAAGTGGGAGCAGGGCCAAGATTCCATGGAGGCCAGAGGTCTAGGCCAGGCCCTCCCCACACTCTGTCACCTTTTTCTGGGCATGTCTCATGCACAAGTCCCATGGTAACCCCAAACCTCAGGTTGTGAAAAAACATGTCTTTGTTTTCATCTATATTTCCCCCAAGTAATCTGAACATGGGACATTTTGCAAATGCCCATTGCTGTTCCACGGATTGGGGATTCTGAAAAATCTCATTCTGGGAAAGGCTAATTTCAGTCCCTTTCCACATGCTCTTAACTCTTCTCCTATGGGAAGCCCTTTCAACCACTTCAACTCTTTCACTTCCCCTCTCCTGTTTGCGGCCTTTGATCATGTATCAGTAGGTAGTTGCTTGTATGAATCATCTTCTGAAGCAGTCTCTGACAGCAGCTGTATCCAGCTTGCATGACTCTGTGGCCCAGTCCTAGGGGTCCTCCAGAGATGACTGTGTGGAGAGTGGTAGGGTTCAGCAGTCCACCTTTCTCAGTGCAACAGCCCGCTGGGAAGAATCAACTGTAAGAGGTTTCTCCTCTTACAGTTAGGATCTACGGTTCCAACTTTGACAAAATGAAAGCCTGTTCCTGGGGCACTTTCAGTCATTCTCAGTACCCCCACTGAAGCAGATGGGGCCCATCACCACCCCTGGTTTATGTGAGAGGAGCTGGTCACTTTGCTCATCCGGTCACTCAGAGCAAGGACTAGCATGCTCCCTCCGTCAGTCTCTGCTTTTCTCCAAGCACCACACCACTTCTTCCAGGCATGCCTACTCTCAACTGGACTCCGGAGCAACTGCTCCTGGGCCAGGGTTGGGGACCAGGCGCAAGCAGGTATGTTTGTGTGTTTGCCTTTGACCCACCTTTACCCTTGGGGGGAACTCCTGTGTTCTGCTTCAAGCAATCCGAGAATCCCAAACTGGCCTTCCAACCAGTCACTGGGGACCTTTTTCCTGCTGCCTCTTGGCTACACATACTCAAACCACTTTGCACTGGAATATTTATTTATTTTTACTTGGCAAAAAGTCAAGTGCTACATTTTGAAAAACAAAACCTCAAACAATCAAACGCATTACCCATCACAGAAGAGGGTCTGGCAACAGTACAAAACATCCTAAAATTATTTTTTATACAAGTAGGTTTAAAATGAGTTCTGTGAGAACTAAGAAATCTACAGCTTGTAGTTTAATAATAGAAAAAAATTAAGACAATTAAAAGATCTGTAGCATCCAGCATTTTGCTTAATTCACTGTTTATAGCACCTATGTCTCTAGGTTAGAAGATGAGAATTCTAGAACCTGTGGTGTATGCCTTGCAACACTATACAGGGTGGACTTGCTGTCTCCCCTCCCCATTAGCCCTCCATCACCAAAGAGAAGATACTTTTTTTTTTTCAATCTCCTCAGTTACACCCAGAGCAGGGGGGACAACTAGGAAAGTGACTTGGACATGAGTGCAGGAATATGACTTCTTTACCCCAGAATGGGCTGCTACCAGAAAAAGAGCATGTGCTTAGAGTGGTGGAGGAATATGGGGGTGGGAACAGCTCTTATCTGCAATATGATGCATAAAAAAGCAAGGAGTAACTGGTCAGTCAGTTGCCTGCAAGTTCAAAAACCTCAGACTACACAGTTCAAGGGCGGAACAAATCACTGATCACATCGCTGCTTTTACATGCACAACACTGCTGGCTATAGGCCACCCCATTGCCATCCCAGGGCGGAGCCAACAAAGTGGCTCCACTGTCTTCAGAAAACACACATTCCACACACGAGGCACTCACTACACACAGATTAATCCCCTGCTCATCCCCACCCTCCTGAACTGAACCCATTTTAGAAAACAAAAGCAAAACCCGCTGGGGAGATTAGAAGGTGAAGAAGTTCCTCCTCAAAGCCAAAGGGACCAAAGCATGTGCATTTTAGCAGATCTGAGGTCTCCCATTCCAGGTCCCTGAGGAACCATATCAGGTCTTGTCTGAGAGGAGGGAGAGGGAGGTTGGAATGGAAACTCTTTTGACCAAGTCCCATCAGGCCTTCTGCAACTGCCAGAGCTGCATTTTTAACTGAAACTCTGCTGTTTTGGGGGGAGTAGCCGTGGATTGGACCAGATGGGAAACTGAAGTGGAAGTGACACATACACAGAGATGTCCTCCCCGAGGGTCACACAGAAGGGGAGGGGCAGGTGGGAGGTGGGTTACTTTGCAGTCCTGGCGTCAGAGGCGCAGGGAGCTTTCAATCGAATTCAAAGGGTTTCCTACTGGTGGTTTGTTTTCCCTTCTATTTTTACTTCCTATAATCAGTGTCAGACTTTACAAAACAAGATAAAGACCAGTCCCAAAGCTAGACTCTGTGAATAAAGTTGTTTCTTTTATAAATATTTTAATTATAGTAATCCTCACTCCAGGTAACTTCAATGACACACGGTGCTTACAGGCACACAAGTTCTCTCTCACACACATACACCGCACACACAACACACACACAGCCCCCAAACTTTCACAGAAAGTCTAGGACAGCAACTGTATAATTATAAAGGAGCCCTACCTCTCAAGAGTGAAGTAAGGGTGAGGATGACTATGTCAACCTAAGGAACCCAGAGAGGGGAGAGTGTGTGTCACTTAAAGAAAAAATACAAACAGGAATTAACAACAATGTCTGGTTGAGAAGCCAGGAAGAAAAAAGATAGTAAAGTTAAAGTCTGCTTACCAAAAAAAGAAAAAAATGAAACAAAAAAACAAAAAGTCCTTTAAATTTCTGTACAGAGGTTCTTCCTGTCAAGTGCCTAAAGCATAGGCAAACTCTGGTGTTCCCACTAAAATATGAGGGCCTCACACAATTGGAAAAAAATCAAAAGAAGAAATGGAAACCGAAGATGGAAGTTAGTGTAAATCTCTGCATTTGGGGAGACAGTTGGTTGTCATTAACTCCAGAGCCCAGCATAGTTTCCATGGAGCCCTGAAGGGAGGGGACCTCCTGCCACAAAGAGTTTCGTTCCGGACGAGTCGTAGCAGTGGGTGTAAACAGCATTGGGGAAGAAATCAATGTCCGAAAAGTAATTCCTCCAGGTTTCATCATGATTCTATGGGGTAAAAAAAAAGACTCTGTTAGCACTTGCCAGAGGGGCAGAAAAGGCGAAAGAAGGGACGAGGATGCTTTCTGGGCCCCTTGAGAGAAGGTCCTGTTATCTATCACTGGATCCCAGGAGACTGGTGCTCATGGACTTGGGGCCCCATTTTTCCAAATGATGTTAGGGACGAGCCAAGTAGGATGAAAAAGTGCTAAGAAAACCTAAGGTCTTCTCAGGACCGCTGGAACCAGTGCTTTAATAATTCACTGGCAGTCTCAGTGGGAGGCTCCTTCTCCTTCTGGCTGTTATCACCTGCAGGTTATCCTGGGTCAACTAGTTTGTCTTTTGGGCCTCAGTTTTCCCATGGATGTGCAGACACAGAAACAAAAATCACCTTGACCTGCCTCTTACTAGTGAAACACTATGACGTCTTAGCAGGGGTGGGAGTGTAAGGACTCCGTTTCTGTCACTGGCCGGTAGCCATGTGAGGCCTGGGCTTACTCACCAGCCAGCCTTTGCCAGTTGTTAGTTTCAGGTTCTCTCCTGCGAGTTTGGGCTTGGACCCGCAACAAGCTGAGAGCTTCTCTTCCAGGAACCTCTGAGCTCGGATGTCATAGAACAGCAGGGAGCCCTGCCCTGTGCCCACAGTGATGATGTGCTCGTAGAAGCTCACTGACCGGATCCCTGAGAGAGAGAAAAGGAAAAGGGCGATCGGATCTGCGAGCCTGAATTTCTCTGGCACTGAGTTCACATGCCATCCCGACATCCCACAGCACCTTTCCTGTGGCAGACCTAGCTCAGGCACAAGCCGAAGCACCATGATGCCACACTGGCCACGCACACTAACAGGAACCTTCCCATAAGCCTCAGAGAGGTGCCTGATGATGCCTGAGATGCTTGTGGCCTAGGACTGCAAGTCTGCCCTGAACCTTCTTGCCTCCCTTGGCTCACTCTGAAGTCATCCTTCATCACTCTGAGCTCGTCTCTCCATTCTATGTTTCTAACCTGCACTGAAGCTGAGGGTAATATGCATATTTATAAATCATTACATTAACAAGGACTTTCTTGTATTTGACCTAAAACCACTACCATGGCACGGCAAGACGTCTTTATCTGGTATTAATTGTGTTAGGAGAGTGGCAAATAGCCTAGAACTCAAGACTCAAAGGTGCACAGTCTCTCACTTGTGAATTTAAGACAAGTCACCTAATCCCTTTGGGTCACAGGGAAAACACATCTGCTGCATCTGTGGACTAAATAAGAGCATGCGATTTGAAGAGGTCTCACTAGTATTTGTGAAATCAATATCTCCTTATTAGGTTTGAATGCCACTTCTGTAACAGTAACCAAAATCTCTTCACTGCAGACATCATTCCTGCCAAGGCAATTTACTCTTTCCCTTACTTACACACAGTTACTCTCTCAGTTCTGAAATATAAGTATTTCAAAGATAACTGAAAACAAACAAGCCCAAAACAAAGGCCATATCTGCAACATTTGCATGAAAATAAATACTACTTGAAAGAGAGAAGCTGAAGTGTAATCCACGCAGTGCCTTTTAACTGCAGCCACGTTTTTTGCATGAGAAGGGGGACAAAGGAGAGATAAGAAAAAACACACTTTGTTAAATTGGATCCTCTGGATTCTGGTCCCTGGGCTGTTCCTCCACCAACCAGTGTGATGTTGGGTAAGTTATTTAACCGATATGGGTCCTAGTCTCCTCCTCTATAAAATGGGGTATAAAGTGCCTCCCACAGGGTTCTTGGTAAGATGAAATGAGATGGCTGACAAAAGTATTCTGAAATCTTTAAGTACAGTACAAACATGCCTTTTTATTCCTCAATAAAGAATGAGGGTGCCCTCTGAGAGAATATGCTATTAAAGATTGGTGGTGGTGGAGTTTTGAAGTCTAGTTCATCCAGTGGTCAGAACTAAATATCTTCTTTATCTTTACTGACATACAATCGATATACAAAGCACTGCAAATATTCAAAGTACACAATGTGAAGTTTTAATATATGTATATATCCACAACACCATCACCACAACCAAAATAACATTATCACCCCCAAAAGTTTCCTCACAGCCCTCTGCAAAATCCCCCTCAGTCTACTGCATTATCCCTTAGCATAAAATGAATTTTCTAGTTCAGGCAGAGTTCCAACAAAGAAACTAACACAGGAAAGAGAGCAGGGTGATGTGAGGGAGCACAGAAACCACCAATATCCTGACGATTGGTTTCCATCAAAGGCTTCTGTGACCACACATTTGTCTAAAGTGTTTGAAGCTTGGCTGCCACGCAGGCATTCCAGCTCCCCTCTGTGTCACCAAACACCTTCATAAAGATCACTGTACTCGTCTGGAAACCAGTATAGAAACAGAAGGGCAAAAACCAACGGCGATGCAGCTGTAAGCCTGAGGGGCACACAGGGCTCTTACCGCTGCCTCGCTCCCTGGAGCAGACAGACTTGACGTTGTATGATGGCTGCCGCGGATCCAAGAAAGAGACGTGAGCTTGGGAGCCCACTGCATAGACTGACCATTCATTACCATAGGCCAGGCACACATTTTCACGGCAATATGGCAGTTTGGTGGAGAGGAGCTGAAAACAGAGGAGAAAGGTCACCGCGGTAACACTAGAGCGTATACGGAAGGGCGCTGTCTTCTGCTGCCCGCCCCTGTGGGCTGCCCCGCCCACAAGACGTGCACAGTCAGAGATCAAAAGGCACACTGCTCCATCCCCAGGTATGCCAGAGAAACAAGGGTGGTGATAGTAAACAAGATCTAGGTACTGAAGAGGACTGCTTAGGGGAAAAGGTCAAGCTGGAATTAAATCATGAGAAGCAGAGAGAAAGGCCAAACGCCACAGGCTGTTTCCAGGGATAACTCCAGGCATTAAAGCCAAGGGCCCATCTGCTTTCTCTGCCAGGAAGAGCCCAACCTTCTCACCAAGCTTCAGGTAGGGGACCTTGTTTCTGGCGATCTGCAGCCTAAATCCCCCACTGTGTGGCAGCTTACACTACAGAGAGCACACTCGTGGCTCTGCTCAACCCCAGGCAGCCCAATCAACGCTGACCCTGGATCCTTATCATTTAGCCAATCTTCAGAGCCCACTGCAGTTGAGGCACCCAGCAAGGGTGGTGGAGCACAAAGGCTCCTATGACATGAGGCAATCAGTAATTCCTGGAGCTCTGCTTCCTCTTGAAAGAGATTCCATCAAAGAAGGAATAAGTCTCAAAGGCCTCTGGGACAAGAACGGAGCAAAGGATTCACGGGTACGTTTAGCTTTAGGCAAAAGCTGCTCGCAAATATTGTAAATTCTTACCTTGCGTTGGAGAAAGAAATGGCACACTTCAGTGTTCTTGTTTGGAGAATTCCATGGACAGAGAAGCCTGGCAGGCTACAGCCCACGGGGTTGCAAAGAGTTGGGACACGACTAAGCAACCAACACCCATACCTTACATGATTATTTTGGGGATGACTTCTCTTAATTGATTTTCGTCAACGACTCCTAACATTTAAATTTGCCTGCCCTGACAATGTTGCAAATAGTCCACAATCCATAAGCAAATACTGAAATGCATTGTGGAATGGAAGACTATGAGTTAAGGAGTCTCTCAGCAAGCCCTTGCAATGTGAACAATGTGAAAGCATCACCTCACTGACTTCTTTAAAAGATTTTCATAAGAGGCAGGCTAGGCTCAGAAGTTCATGTACCATGTGATCACATGTCTAGACACTTCAAGAATTCATGTTTTAGATAAGAATGAATAATTCAGAAGATATAGTATTTTAACTTTAAGGTGAAACTACTAAGTCATGTTCATCACACCTTAGATAGGGTATTTTCAGCCTTCCAGAGATGAAAGTAGCCATCCAGCGATACTGCTCCCAATTCCTGCAAAAGCAATGAAAAACAGGTCATATGCACAGCAACTCACAACAGTAAGCAGGAGAATACCTGCAGGATGGGGTCCTCCATTCCTCACTTGGATCCCATGATGGTGCCAGGGATTATCAGCCCCTCATCTCAGCCTATGAAATGCAGCTGGACAGCATAATAAAGCAAGGCTGCTTCTTGAGAGAACCCAAGAAGCTAGTCCAGGCTTGAACAGAGACACCCAAGGTTCCAAAAGCCAGTAGCATACAATCATACACGTCACATCCTGTTTGATAGTTAGAAAAGAGCACACACATGAAAGCCAGTTTTATAAGTCTCAGTGTGAGAGCTGCTGTAAGTAGAGGGTCTAAGGTCGGAGATCCATCTACCCCTAACCCCTAAATATGGATGAGAGATGGGAGGCTAAGGGAACTAGCCCTCAAATTGTGGGGAAAGCCTTTCTTCTCTTATGGGTCTGGGTCTTCAAACCAGCAGGCTACTTAATAGTTCAGTTTCAGGAGATCTGACTCAGATGATTAGACTTGATGGAAGCACTGAGAACAGGTTGTGAAGAATGAAAAGGAACTGAATACTAGAGAGAAGAAAGTGACTGCAGGTAGGAAAATCATACCCAAAATAGAGCACCTGCAAGGTCACGTGCAGATGAGACAGATCAGAAAGGCCCTGGGGAAACTCTGAGAGGTTAACAGACATGAACCATGCAGAGAATACTCACTGCAAGGGGTAGGTTTCATAATTTTAGTTATGATCTTTCTCAGAGAGAGACTGTTACTGAGCATCCCTCAGTCTTTAAGAGATGCTGTTTGGGCTCAGAACCGAATTATGCAGTAAGCTCTGACTCGGGAAAAGAGAAGGGAAGTGCATCTTCCAAGACATAAGCCAAGGAACTGAAGCAGGGGGAACAGGCTTCAGGGGCCTCTGGCAAGCTCATACCTTGTTCCTGTTGTTGAAGGCCAGGGCCCGGACCTTACAGTTGTCAGGGTTTGTGTCCTCCTTGGGGATGTCCTTTAAGGCCTTGTGAGTGATGTGAGAATACACAGGGACTTGTGACACATTGTGTCTTGCGTCGCTTTTGGTCAGCACGTCCTCGGTCACCTCCCAGAGTCCCATAGAACCATCGCGAGAGCCTGCCAGGAGAGGAGACCACGGGCATCAGACATACCAGCTCGCCAAGAGACACTCCCACTGAAGCCAAAAGGACTTTCTTAGCCTAGTTCTCCGAGCACCATGTTCACATGTGTGCAAGGCTGGCCAGTGGCCCAGACCAAAACGAACAGCAGTATGCATTTTAACAGTTATACTGAGAGGATGATTCAACTCAAGTGTAGGAGTTTATAGGCATATATATGTATATTTTTGACCATGCCTGTCCCACAACCTGTGGGATCTTAGTTCCCCAACCAGGAATCGAATCTGCACCCCTTGCACTGGAAGTGCAGAGTCTTAACCACTGCACTGCCAGGGAAGTCCCAAAATGTAACCTTGAAGTGTGATGTGGTTGGTGAGACTATTCAAAAGAGAACATAATACATTTGACAAAGCTCAGTAATGTTCCAAGCCAAACGCTCAGCTTACTGGGGCGTGAATGCACAGGTGATCTCCACTCTAGATCAGCGGTGCTTAACATTTCTGGAGTCACAGTACCCCTTCTTCAGACTTAGGAATGTTAAAGACTTCTTTCTCTAGAAAAATACACCAAAGATCTACATTGCACACTCAACTTCAGGGAGGTTCCTAGGCCCCTTAAACGGACCACAACCCCTGAATTAAGAATGACTGTTCTATGTAAGATGAGTGTTTAATAACATAAATTGTTTCCCTTAGGAAACAATAATGAAGCACTTAAAATGGGTCTATTGGATAGATATAAAACAGTATATCAAGAACCATTAAAAAAATTTTCAAATTCCTTTCAGTATCAATATTTGCCAACATTCCATTCAGACCAGAAGGTGCCCCTCCCACACTTTAAATCTCCTGAATACTTCACAGTAAAAACTGTCTAACATGGGAGAAATATTACTCAATTTGCACCATAAGGTCTGTGGACAGAGGTTCAAAACAGAGGGTTCAATGTGTGTGAAATCCAGAAAAGGCCACCGAGAGAAGGGCACATCTAGAGAACTACGTAAGTGATAATGCAAGTTCAAAAAATAAAACACCACAAGCTTTATTATGAAAAATGTCAAGCATGTTGAAATGTTGAAAGAATTTTACAATGAATTATATACTTACATCTAGAGTCTAGCATCATCGTTTTCTTATACGTGGTATAACATACATCTATCTATCCTTCTAAATGATCCTCTTTTAACCTAGTAATGATTCCATTTTAACAACTGGAATATGTACTGAAAAAAAAACTAGCAAGATGTATTTAAAAATGTCAACAGTGGCTATCTCTAGGCAGAGATTGTGTGGGTAATGCTTTCCTTTTTTTATTTGAATTTTTAAAATTCTTATAACAAACATGTTACTTTTGCAGTAAGGAAAAATTTATTTAAAGAACTAATCTGGCAGCAACATGAAGACTAGATTTAGAGGAGCTAAGACTAGAATCGGAGAGAAAACACATAAGGACATTGGGGTAATTCAAAAGATAGATGATGAGCACCCAGAGAAGGCAGAAAATAAATTGATGGGTGTAAGAGATATTTTAGAAAATCATATCAACAGGGCTTGGTAATAGATGGAGACTGAATGGTCTTAGTTCCCTTGCTGTATGCCTAGGTAGAAGGTAGGAGCATTTACCAATATGCCAATGGTAGGGAGAGGTGTGGTCCTGGGAGGGAGATGATGAGTTTGAATACCCTGAATCTGAGAGAAATGTTCATCATCAAGGGGCTGATATTCATCAAATGTGAACATTAACACTGGTTAACAAGTATTGAGTATTTTCACTATGGCAGCCACTAAACACTGTATCATTTGATCTTCCCAATGACCCTTTAAAGTATGTATAATCATTATCCATGTTTAAACCCAAGTCTTAAAAAGGCTTAAATAACTTGTCCTCTATGCTAATAAGCGGTATGACCAGGATTCAAATTCAGGTCTTTATTATCAGAGCCAATATTCTTTTTTTTAATGCAGCAAAACCTATTTTAATGTTAATGGTACATCAAACATTCTTTTTTGGTAAATAACAGAACCTTGTTTATACCCAATGAAATAAGATATCTACACTGACTTAAGACTATCTGGACTTTCTTGCTGATGTGACCTCTCAGAGTATGAAATTCCTGATTTGGATGTAAATGAAGCATAAATGAAAATTCAACAGTTTTTTTTTTTACTGCACTGTGCAGATTATGGGATTTTAGGATGCCAACCAAGGATCAAACCCAGGCCCCCTGCAGCTGAAACGTGGAGTCTCAACCACTGAACTGCCAGGGAAGTTCCCCCGGAAAAATCTTCCCCTGCCCTCCTGCACAGCCGAATGTTGGAGCTAGTGATTTTTGCAACTGAGCTGCTTACTGCAAAATTCTGAGGCAGTTTCTCAATCTTTTTATATCACTCCTCCAAATTAGGTTTCTTACTGTCTCCGCACATATTATGGTTTTAAAATGTATACTGTGATTTTACTCTTTAGCTTCCATAATTGTATGTGGTGTTGTGTATCCTACGATATGTCATCAGCATGTCACAGGGCATCTCCATCATTAGGGTAGGGAAGAGTACCAACTTATTTGGATGATCAGGAAACTGAAACACAAGCTACTTTCAATATGCAACAATTTGGAGAACACAGCTTTTGAAGATTATTATTTGTACAAAGCTGTATTTCCTCAATTTAGATGGCAAAATTATATATTAGGAACATTGATGGGTTTTCATTGTGTATGTAGAGGTTTTATTTATTCTACAGTTTATAAGGAAGGTATGTTCTATATTATCATAATTGAAGTCTCAATAGAAGATGAGATTTCTATTGAGATTTAGATTTTATCTTTTAGATTAAAGATAGATTTTTAGATTTTAATTTTCGATTAAATTTTAGATTTAGATTTTCGATTTTAATCTTTTTTTTTTGGCCACTCCATGAAGCATATGGACTCTTCCCTAATTAAGGATTAAACCAGTGCCCCCTGCATTGGAAGTCTTAACCACTGGACCACCAGGGAAGTCCCTAGATTTGTTTCAGGTATACAGCACAGTGATTCAATATTTTTATAGATTATACTCCATTTAAGGTCATTATAAAATAATAGCCGTATTTCCTTGTACTGCACAATATATCCCTGTTGCTTATTTTATACACAGTAGTTTGTACTCAGTTCCATACTTCTATCTTGCCCCAGCTCTCTCCCCACTGGTAGCCACTAGTTTATTCTCTTTTTCTGTGAAACTGTTTGTTTTTATACATTCATTTTATTTTTGGATTCCACATTCCACTGATGAGTCTTTGTCTTTCACTGACTTATTTCACTAAGCATAATACCCTCCAGGTCCATCCATGGTGTTGAAAATGGTAGAATTTCATTATTTTTTAATAGCTGAGTAATAGTCCATTGTGTATATTACCACATCTTGTTTTTTTAATTTTTACTTTACATTGGAATATAGTTGATTAACAGTATTGTGTTAAAGTGTACAGCAAACTGATTCAGTTACATATATACACATCTGTTCTTTTTCAAATTCTTTTCCCATTTAGGTTATTACAATATATTGAGCAGAGTTCCCTGTGCTAAATAATAGGTCCTGTGCTCGCTTCGGCAGCACATATACTAAAATTGGAACGATACAGAGAAGATTAGCATGGCCCCTGCGCAAGGATGACACGCAAATTCGTGAAGTGTTCCATAAAATAAATAAATAAATAAATAAATAATAGGTCCTTGTCGTTACCTGTTTTAGCTTTTTGGATGTGCCATGTGGCTTGTGGGATTTTAGTTCCCTGCCCAGGAATTGAACTTGCACCCTTGGCAGTGAAAGCGCAGCGTCCTAACCACTGGACTGCCAGAGAATTCCACGGCTACCTATTTTATTAAATGCTACTTTGGCTGCTTTGGGTCTCGGTTGTGGCACATGGGATTTTCACTGCCTCATGTGGCACTGTTCGCTGTGGTGCAGGGATCCTCCAGTTGTGGGGCTCGGAGCACACGGGCTTAGTTGCTCCTCAGACTCTGGGATCTTAGTTCCCCAACCAGGGATTTAACCTGTAACCGCTACATTGGCAGGTGGATTCTTAACCACTGCACCACCAGGGACGTTCCCTGACCAATTTTTAACTGGGCTGTTAATTTTTTTATAGAGTTGTACGAGCTATTTATATGTTTTAGATATTAATCCTTATTGGTCATATCATTTGCAAACATTTTCTCCCATTCCATAGGTGGTCTTTTTTGGCTGTTTCCTTTGCCTCAGGAGATCAAATAAGACACTGCTACGATTTATATTAAAGAGTGTTCTGTCTATGCTTTCTAGCAGTTTCATGGTTTCCAGTCTTACATTTATGTCTTTAATCCATTTTGAGTTTCGTTTAGTATATTGGTGTGAGAAAATGTTCCATCGATAATTTCACTCTTTTGCATACAGCTGTCCAGCTTTCCCAGCACTTCTCACTGAAGACTGGTTTTTCTCCATTGTATATGCTTTGCCACAGATTTACTGACGAGCTAATTCTTTGTTCTGTCCCATGGGTCTTTGAGTGTCTTTTTGTGTCAGTACCATGCTGTTTCAATGACCACAGCTTTGTAGTTTAGTCTGAAGTCAGGGGGCATGCTATCTCTACCTTTGCTCTTTTTTATTTCATGGCTGCTCTGGCAGGACTGCCCTGGTGGTAGTGGATGAGAATCCACCTGCATTGATCCCTGGTCCAGGAAGATTTCACATGTCGTGGAGCAACTACACCCATGTGCTACACCTACTGAGCCTGTCCTCTAGAGCCCAAGAGCCAGAACTACTGAGCCCAAGTGCTTAGAGCCCATGCTCCACAACAAGAAAAGCCACCACAATGGGAAGTCTGCACACTGCAACAGAGCAGCCCCCACTCTCTGCAACTAGAAAAGGCCTGTGTTTGGCAACGGAGACCCAAAGCAGCCAAAAGCAAGCAAGTAAACAGACAAAATTTAAAAAAAAATTGCTCTAGCAATTTGGGGTCTTTTGTGGTTCCATATAAATTATAGGACTGCTCTAGTTTGATGAAAAAATGTCATGGGTATTCTGATAAGGATTGCATTGTATCTGTAGATTGCTTAGGGAAATACAGATATTTTAACAGCATTAATTCCTCTAATCCAAGACCAAAGGATATATCTTTCCTTTCCTTTACAACATCTTCAATTTCCTTCATAAATGTTGTACAGTTTTCAGAGTATAGTTCTCTCAGAGTCAATATTCTTTCTTCTTTTTAAACTGAAATATAACTGATTTATAATACTAACTTCAGGTAGATAACATAATAACTCAGTATTTTTGCAGATTATACTTCATTATAGATTATCATAAGATACTGAGCATAATACCACATGCAATACAGTATATACTTGTTGCTTTTTTATTTTATATACAGTAGTTTCTATCAGTTAATCCCACACCCTTAATCTGTCCCGACTCCTTCCCTCTCCGCTTTGGTAACCGTAAGTTTGTATTCTATATTTGTGAGTCTGTTCCTGTTTCAGAGCCAGTATTCTTAAAACCTGCTTACTGTTCACAAAATGTAGCCTTGGAAGCTATCAGCCTGAAAACACAGAACACTCCCAGGGTATATTAAAAAAGAGAAGGAAAGCTCTCCAGAAGTCATGTCCTGGCTCCCAACAACCCCATTTAGTTCAGCTTACTGTCATACACATGGTCCCTATAGAGGGGACACGATTCATCTTTGCCCTCCAGGAGCTCTCATTTCTTGGGAAGACAAATGACAGGGAATCCAAAAGCTTCTGAACCGCTACTGAAAATTTTTGAACTGTGACTATGTTCGTCCCTTAGACTTCTCCTTCCTTCCTTGCTGTTTTCTATTGCCTTGCAAAAAACCCGAAGAAAGAAACATTTATGTTCCCTTAGCTTTCTTTGTAGCAGTTCTAAGCATGGGCTTTGAACTGAGAGCTGGCTTCAGATCCTGACTCCATCTCTCACTGTCTCTGTAGCCTCTGGCAAATTGTAACTTTTCAGAATCTAAGTCTTCTCAATTGTGAAATGAGGCTGACAATGTAAACCTTCTAGGATTGTTATGATGATTCTATGAAATAACATATGAAGTACTTAATTTAGCAACTCTTGTGATTTTTTAAAATTTGGGAATCTGGAATGGACGATTATATTTTACATATATATGCAGGCATGCTCCACTGCTCAGTCAGGTCTGACTCTCTGCAAACCCATGGACCGTAGCTCCTGAGACTCCTCTGTCTATGGAATTATCCAGGCAAGGATACCGGAGTGGTTGCAATTTCCTCCTCCAGGGGATCTTCCTGACCCTCATCTCCTGTGTCTCCTGCATTGGCAGGCAGATTCTTTACTGCTGTGTCACCTGGGAAGCCAGGTACCCAGAAGAGCTGGCTGGCACTCTGAGCCTACATTCTAGGCTGCTGTGGGTATTCAGAAAGCATTTGAGTATCTCTTCACTCATTTCCATTATTTTTCCTGACTGTTCTACCATTGGGAGGGGAATTTCCCCAATCCTGTTCAGCTTTATCAACACTATATAGTTGTACAGAAAATAATTGCTCCAAATATTTTCCAGACCACAACTTTTCCAAAACCACTCTCCGAACTATTGTCTCAGCAAATCCCAACAAAATGTTGAAGCTAAGGGGCCATCACACAGGCTCTTTAAAAAAAGGCAGAGTATGAATAATAAGTGTGCCAGTACTTCCAGTACTTTCCAGATTAGGAATATACAAGGGACAAGACTTATCCAAGGTCACATGCTAAGTCAGAGAAAAAGACAATACTAGAAACAAGGTTTTTTGGCCCCTGGCTGATGGTCGGTTATTGGGCTATTTCCAGTTACACTACTACCCCTTTTTTAACTTCTAGCCTCCCTCCTTCCCTGCCACACCAGAATTCCTTACAAAAGGGCAATTTACCAGACACGGCCATAGTGTCACTGATCCACGCGATGGAAAAGATCCAATCCTTGTGTCCGTCCTTCAAGGAGGGAGTGACAGGTGCGGGAGGTGGGGGGGAAGGAAAAACGAAATGAGTAAAATGAGGATTACAATGTACACCCCTGAAAAGCTTAAAAGTCTGAATGAAAATATCTTTGTAAAAATTACAATTCTGATCTCTGGTGATCACAACCCAAATGGCATGATCCTACAATCTTTAGCTGTGTCTTGAGAAGCTCAAAGCTGAAATGAAGCTGGCTTGCCTATGGGCTATAAACACGGCCGGTGGACACACTGCTCCAGCACTCTGTCTCCTGATGTCTTACCTGTGGCTCCTACACACCATCACCCACCTCTCAGCCCTCCAACTTCATCCTGGCATGCTCCCCTGTGCTTCCTGGGACAACAGCTAGAACCGACCTCTACATTCTTCCCTCTTCTGAACTCTCTTCCTCAGACATCAGCATGGCCTGTACCCACATTTCCTTTAAGCCTCCCTGCTCAAGTGTTATTCTTATCAAAGAGGCCTTCCCTGACTACCCTCTGCAGTAGCATCCTCCACCACACTCTCTCCCCTTAGCCTGACTTTACTCTTCTCCATGGCACTTCCCACTCTGACTTAACTGCTGGTACATTTTTGTTGGTTTATACGCCTCCCTTCACTTGAGCACAGGCTTCAGGAGGACAGGGGGGCTTTGTCTCTTTTATTCACTGCTACATCCCCAGAGTCTAAAACAATGCCTGGCCACAGAAGGATCAAAAATTAGTTGCTGAATGAATAATTTAATAAACTCTTCTGACCATGGGCAGTAGGAAATGTGTAAACACTGTGGACTCAAACACCAACCCACTGCTGCTGGCATCTGAGGTGTGCGGCTCGCACCTGTATCAAACATCCGTTCTGTCAGCATCTGAAGCTCCCTGTGGGGAGCGCAGTACCCACTCAGACATCTCTGTACCCACATCTCACCATTACAACTCCTCACCCCCACCCCAGCCCCCAAGTCAGCAGTAAGCAAACTATTCCTTCCTGAAGGGCTTACGGGAGGAAGGTCCATGTTACCTGCTGGGGTCTGTTTAAAAACTTACATCCCCCACACACACAGGATCTAGTGTAGGCAGCCGGTAGATGGCAAGACTATTAGGGTTGTCTCCTCCAGTGGCTAACAGTGTTCTAGAGGGGTTCAGCTCGATAGCATGGATACCGCAGCCCTGCTGAGTCACACCACCAGGCTCCCGGTCCTTCAGAATGGGAATCTTGGTGATCTGGCTTGTCTGGACATCCACTACAAACAGCTACGAGAGAAAAGAGATAAAGAAGGTGAAGTTTCTCTTCAGTGTGGCTGACCTTGGGTATAAATATCCATTCATTCACTCAGTTATCCATCAAACATTTAATTAATGTCTACTAACTGCAAAGTCAGGGCTACACTAGTCAAATGAAACATGTAAATAAGAAAACATAACAGAGATAGGTATAATATGCTATATAATATGTTATATAAACACAGAAGAGGAAGAAGTAAATTCTGCCTGATATTCAAAGATGGCTTCAAAGAAGACCTGTATTAGACTTTGGACCTAATTAACCTGATGAAAGGTTTTCTACCAGTGCAACTGTATTATATATCACTAATTCTTATCAACACATGTGTGGAAAATTATAAACAAAACACATCACAACCACTATTAGACGTAAGTATAAACCATACCAGGTTTGCTAGAGTGACCTGAGATATGAGAGAGTAAGAGAGATTCACGTCTCAACTGCTTATCTGTTCTGTGCCTCCGTGTCTCTGCTTATGCTGCTCCTTCTGCCTGAAATGCTCTTATCCACTTCTGTAACAAATCAACCCTCTTACATTCTCCAAAATTCAACTCAGAGAAATGCTTGATAGAAAAGATCAGTCTTAGAGAAAGGGCATTCCCAATGGAGTCTATTATTAAACTCTTTATGTGATTCAATGATTCATTCCTTTATTTGCTCACTGAGTCAGCACCAATTCAATGCCAAGAACTGTTCTAGGTGTGAGAAACCTAACTACTAGGAATGATCTCTGTCCTCATATACCTTATAGTCTAGGAGGTTCATTTAAAATTCTATCAGCAAATCTCAGAGTGAAGCCAAAACATGTCAAATCTTCGTATAAACAACCTACTGCTTGCATAGGAAGATCTATGAAAGGAGGAAGTAGGTAAGTCTTAAATTTAAAAGAGAAATAGAAAAGGAAGAGTAGCTAGAATAAGAGGGTCAAGCAGAGACTGGGGGTGGGGCGGATTTTAAAAAGAAAGGAAGAGTGAGGGGAACCACTCCCAAACCTGTAAACCCTGACAACTATTTAAGGCCGAGCCCCTGCCAACTGGCACCATCACCAATGTGTCTGACAGGCATTTTCAAATTTTCAAACTCAATGTGTCTAAAACAAATTATCTTCCTCCCCAAACTGCTCATTTCATCTGATGCCACCACAATCTTCCTGCTCACTCAAGCCTGGGATTCACCCTAGATTCCTAACTTCCTCCTAAATATTCTTATAGTTGGCTCCTTCTTCTTCATCCTCTCTCCTCTACACGACTTGCCTTCAGGAAAGGCTATCAACAAAACTATACTCCACACTATAATCATTCATCTTCCTAAAGAATGGAAATCCTCCCATGTCCATTAAAAAATATCTGATAGTTCCCCTTCCCCTAAATTCAACTTCCCTGGTGGCTTAGACGGTAAAGCGTCTGCTTATAATGCAGGAGACCTGGGTTCGATCCCTGGGTCAGGAAGATCCGCTGGAGAAGGAAATGGTAACCCACTCTTGTCTGGAAAATCCCATGGACAGAGGAGACTGGTAGGCTATACAGTCCATGGGGTCACAAAGAATCGGACATAACTGAGCAACTTCACTTTCACTTTCTAAATTCAAGCCCTTCAGCATGGCATCAAGATTCTCCTCAACGTGGACCCTATTTATCTCTCCAGCTTCACATCCTTCCATGGACGTTATACTATAGAAAGAACTGCTTATAAATTATTACCCACACAAAAATCTTCAATGATATATAGTGATTTTACTTCATGGTTAGGTTGTTCCAATGCCAGAAATGCTTTCACCTACTCTTCTCTTTACCTGGCTATTATGTCCTTACGTTTCATGATTCAGTTCAGACATGTCCTCTCCTAGTATTTCTTAATGTCCAGGCTGATTAAGTTCCTCTCCTGTAGGCTCCCAAGATAGCCCTCTACTCACAATACTTAGATCTTATCACAGTTTTAAAATATCCACTCTCTTCTCCATTAAGCTGATAATGCCCTCTCAATTCCAAGAGCAGGGGCTTTATCTTACCTGGTTCTGCTCTCCTGCCCCAACAACACAGAGCTACACAGTAAGCACTTAAGAGTGACCACCTTACCAGGGCCTCCCCAAAGACGCTGGGGGACCCCTGCATCCCTGCATTCAGAGTGGCGCCCTATAGCTGAGTTCATCTGATGTAAGCCCAGATGTCCAGGTCACAGTACTGTTCTGGGGTAGCCTCCCGACTCAGGGAGAACCAGTTCAGAGCCTAGATTAGACTAGGTCATTCAAATTCTCAGCAGTATGGAACTGGCTGGTGGCGCTAAACCAAACTGGGTGCCCATTTTCTACCAAAGCCATTCCCACAGAAAAGGAAACAGTGAATTTAGGAAGCATGGACATCCCTGGTTCCTAGTGCCTTTCCAATTCCTAGCTGTTTCCTTCTGAGATTCAGGAATACTTTCTGTTCTTGGGGTTTGTGAGCTAGCCCTTCCAAGGAATATGATTGGGTTTCTTACTATTTTATAATAGCCTGCCAGATTTCTGTCCATGAATTCTCCAAGGCAAGGATACTGGAGTGAGTAGCTATTCCCTTCTCCAGGGGATCTTCCTGACCCAGGGGTTGAACCTGGGTCTCCTCCGTTGCAGGCAGATTCTTTACCATCTGACCATCAGGGAAGCCCTAACCTAACCAACACAGCCCCTCAAATGTTTAATACAGCAAAATTTACTGCCCACTCACACCTTTGTGTTGTATGGGACAACGTACACGTAATATGTCAGCTTCTAGACCAGTGATTCTCAAACTGCTTATCACAATAACCTGGGAAACTCTTTTTTAAAAACACTACAAAACAAAAACAATTCCCATAGCTACCATAAAACACCTTCAACTAGAAAGTTCTGAGTTTTGGGCCAGTAAAACTGAATTTTTGTCAAGCATCTCCAGGTGAATCTACTGATTGCTCAGGTTTAAAAACCACTGATCTAGAGCTGTGCTAGTCAAAGGAACATCTGGAAGCTTGCTGGAACCCAAGAATCTCAGGCCTCACCCTAGACCTACTAAATCAGAATCTGGAGTTTCTCAAGATCTCCAAGTACACGGAAACGTCTGAGAAGCACTGGTGTAGAGACAATCTGCTCTGTACACTAAGGACAATGCATTTGATAAGAAACAACCCTATGCCTTAATAAACAAGGCTCCATTTCTGCCTCCCAGAAAAGGAAACGAGAAAAGGCTTTACTTATTCATGTCCAAGAAAGTCTTAAGTCCAACCTCTCCAGTTTTGGACTTGGGAGAGGTCTAGGTTTAAGAATGTTTACTTAGCAGCTATGTGAACTTGATCAGTCATTTAACCTTTCTGAATCTTGCTTCTTATCTAGAAAACTTAAATAATATTACTTATCTAATAGGGCTGCTAAAAGATTTAATAAAATATGAAGTATCTAGCACAGGGCTCAGCACAGAACAGGTGCCTAAAAGTACTAGTTCAGAGACAGTCGATTCTAATGTTTTGTTTCATTTCGTAGGTTTTAAGACAGAATAGATGAACAAAATTTCATACAAGGGAGATGCAAATGGCTTACTCTGTAGAGGAAACCAAGAGTTTACCCACAACCTTACCCTCACCAAGGAATGACAAAGCAGCATGTAAAGGAGGGAGCCCCCTTGCTCTTTCAAAGGAAATTTAAGAGATGCGGATGGGGTGCCACATACTGTCTCCCCAAGCTGTGTGACAAGGGGCCAAGGCTTCATACAGCTCCTGTAACATTTCCCAGAATGGAACTGCTCCCCACTCACCTACTGGGATCCCTGCCAGCAACCAGCAGCATGGCAGAGTAAGCTTGAGGCTTAATGGTTCCCTGCAGCTTTTAAGCCAGGGCAGAGGGAAAAAAAGAAAGCAAAGGCCTTACAATCAGGAAGATTCCAAGACTAGTGAGGACACCTCAGCCTGCATGTATCTGCATATAGACACATGTAACTGTGCCTATACAGAAAGCCAGGAATGGCTTAATAAAATGGGGGAGGGGAGATTCACAGTCTCTAAAACTGAAGGTGTGTTAGGCGGAAGCTAGTGGAGAAAGGAAAGTAAATCCACACAGGAGGCACAGATATCAGGATGAACTATACAGAGTCAGATAATTAAAGGCCAGAGGGCAGCTTGAGTCTGGGAAAGGGAAGAGGACTGAAACCTAGCAGGGGAATCCATTCTCTGTCCCCAACAGAGACGTGGAGGGGCAAAGGAGAGAGCCAAGACTAAGAAACACAGCAAAACACAGTTAGCCAATATGTATCAAAGATTAAAAATGTGTAAATGCTACAACTACACTAAGGAAATAATGACAAGTGAACAGCTTTAATTACAATGAATTCTATTTACTTATTTATTAAAAAAAAATTTTTTTTTACTGCACTGTGGCATGCGGGATCTTAATTCACCAATCAGGGGTCAAACTCATGCCCCCTGCAATGGAAGCACGGCGTCTTAACCACTGGGCCACCAAGGAAGTCCCAAGTTCAAGTGACTTTTAAACTAGTGAAACACCACAGGCAGTTGGGAATAACCACTCAGTGGATTATGATACAGTCTTTAAGAACGATGGAGAAGAGGACACTTATTAACATGGAACTAATGCTATTTTAATAGCATTAATCCCTGGTCAAGCTTCATGGTGAGGTCAAATATAAAAAAGAATTTCTTGCTTTGTCTGTTGAGACTAGTAACAATGCTATTAACATGGAAATCATGCTATGTTATTAAATGAATACCCTTTTAAAGACCTAAGTCCTAGAATGTTAATTTTTTCCCTCAAAAAACACATATGACATGCATTATTTTAAAAGAAAAGGAGGACTTCTTTTCTGGTGGTTAACAAACCACCAGCCAACACAAGGGATGTGGGTCTGATCCCTGGTCCGGGAAGATCCCACAGGCCCCGGAGCAACTAAGCCCGAGCACCCCAGTGGTAAAGCCTACGCTCCAGAGCCCGGGAGCCAGGCCACGTGCTACA